CAGACATGTGTTAAAATAGCCCATCCCTCCTAAAAGTGAAGACAAAAACAAATCTGGATTTAACAGGCTCCAGCATAAAAACACCACAACAAAAGAAATCTCACACACCAGAGTCTGGAACCAAAAAGACGATTAGCCCACTTCCCAAAATATTCCACAAGAGCCGCACCTCTCCACCACATTGTTCCCAGTCTCCTTGGATCTATAACAACTGACCCGAGTGGGTGTGTACTTGGCTAGTCTCTGGCCTGCATCTGTTAGGACTGTGCACGCACAGGGGTTTCTCAGGGATGACAGCCCATCACATTCAGCAAACAGCAACGGTTCGCAGATTGTTTATCTATGTGACATCACCGTGTCCAGCAGAGGGGCCGGCTCTCTTCCTGAGGAAGTGCGTCGTTGTGGAGACGGAGGAGAGCCGACGGTGTCGCAAATGTTTCCAATCAGGATCTCTGCGGGCTCCTGTTTGTCCCGGGGAAAGAAGTTGGAGCCCCGTTTTTTGGCCGGGGCCAGAGGAATAAACAGCCAAACAACTTCAGGCCATATTTTACCCCACACTGACCTCTAGAAAGCACAATGTTCTCCACCTCAGGTAGACTGTAACTCAGCAACATAAAGTGCAGGCATATTATCTGGGGAGCTATCTGCCCTCTGGACACTCGCCATCCATCAGAGCAAACCCACTGGGCTCGGGAGACGTGCAACCACAGTTTAGGGCAATTATGACCTATTACAACAGTGAAAAATTAAGATTGTAAATCAGGCTTGTGAACTATCAAGTCAAAATCAGTTTAAAATAACAACAACTGACCATTACAAAAAAGAGCTCATCACCACGTTGCAACCCATGTGCTTTCTCCAGCATCCACGCCCTCCTGGTAGAGAGAACAGCAACAGGCAGGGCCCGCGCATTGTGAGCCAATTAGCTCATTCGGAAAGGTTTAGCCAAAAAACACCCACTTACGTTATTTTGTTGAGCATATCCCATGGCAACAGTTGTTTTTCTTTTGTGAATGGCAGCTCACAGACAATAGCATGTGGGCTGCTAAGATATTCCCGCTGCATTGCCTCAGTCCAAAACTTATTACAGTCAGACTCCACTGGCAGTAAAATCAAAGGCAGGATGGGATGAGGGGTGGAGGAGGGGGGTGTTGTTTTTATTCCACCATATTCCAAAACATCACAGTCTGAAACAGTATGGTCTGGTCCTGCTTCATTTTAGACTGTCAAAAAGTAGTCCAGCCAAACATTTGTCTAACGCAGTATCAGTGTTTGAATCCACAGAAAATGTTCAGTCACAACTGGCTTACACACAAAAACGGTATAGCTGATAGCTCATTAATGCACAAGGCAAAGCTGTGCAGCAACCAGTAAGACACTGACGATGTGAGGATAATTATATCAATGGACTCATTTTGCATTGTATAGCAGGCTTAGCTCAGTTCAGCTGAAATACAGCGGTTTGACGTCACGAGATTTCCTTCAGCTGAATGCAGCCAACCCTCATCTCGCTCCAAAACACCACAGCTCACGCCAGCATTTTGAAAATTATCATTTCATATGGGGGGGGCATAAAGGAGAGGTTATTAAGCACGCTAATCCACTGAGGCACTGTTCTGAAACACAGTAGGCTTCACCTGCACTGAACTATTCCAAACCCATGCCGTTTCTGAGCATGCCAAACTGGCTTCATGGTAATTAGTGTCTGTCAAGGTCCGGGGATTGCTAGAGATGACAGTGGCACGGTTTATCAGCCAGAAACACAGTGATCAAAGGGAACGCTCTGGCTTACTGCTAATCAGATGGACTCCGCATGCCTCTTGCACAGTATTATGGAAGGAAAGGTGCAGTCCAACATAAACATATTTTACCAACACAAAAGTCCAGGAGACTATGCCTCATCAAGAAAGCTTAAGCACATCAAGAGTATGATATGATACATCAGACGGCCGATAGGACGTGGCAACAGCAGAATTATGTCGACAGATGACTGTGATGCAGATTACAGGTGGGATGAAAAGGCTCTCCCACACAATGCAACTTAAGTGTTGTCATGAAGGATGTGGAAAACTGCTATGTAAACACATGAAAATGAACGGTCAGGGTTATCTCAAGGGCTTCATCGGCATAAAACTGACATGCAAAAATCACAAAGCAGGCAGCCCATCCATCTGCCAAACATATGAGCGTCCGCCGGCGAGCATCCAGCTCGGAGGACATAACAACATAAAAGCCGAACGTGCATTTCAGGCCTCGCATTCACTGCCCTGCGTTCTCACTCTGAGAGGCACACTGGCAGATGTCAGTAGCTTTCACACATTTCTGGCTGGCTTCATCCACCAGCCTCCTTCCTTCCTCCAGCCTGCGTCACCTCTGCTCTGACATCACATGTGACATCAGGCAGGACCTCCGAGGGGATCCCTGTAGCCGGGCAAACATCAGATGACTTTCAAAGGCTTCGGCTATAGCTACCCAATGGCAGTAAAAACTCATTTTTTTCTTGATGAGCTTGGCCTAGAAATAAAGCTGAAGACAGACAGAGAGCAGACAGAGAGGGGAGGACTGTCAAACCTGCTAAAACACACACACACACACACACACACGATTACTGGAAAGGGAAAGTCTAGCCCCGGGGTAACCAGACTCACTGCAACACCAGGAAGTCATCCCAGCCCACACTTATCACCGGACCACTCCTGAAAGTTGAACTGGTATGACTCATTTCACGGCCGTGGAGGGCCCCTCCAGTTTCGCTGACCAACCCTTTCCTCTGTTGCTGGAAGGAATTAATGAGCTGCTTCCCTTCTTAATACGCTCTGTATCCCACCATACCCTGCACCCCCTCTGGGCATCTAGCAGGGCCTTGTGTTCACACACCATCCCAGTCTCAAGGATGTGTGAAAGACCTACCACATAACACACATGCGCCCACGCACACACATTTAAGATTTCTTACCTTTTCCTGTGAAAATGCACATCACCCGGTGATGGTGTGGGCTACAGTGTTTTGCAGTATTTTATCTTTTTAACCCATCAGCTGCTGTTGTCTACAAATCCTGCACACTGTCTTGAAAATGCTTCTTTACTGACATTTACCAACAGCTTTTGATGCAAGCTCACTGAGCTGTGAAAGGTCTTGACAAAAAGGAACAGATCACTCCTGGGCAATGTTAACAGTTCTTCCATAAATACTATAAGCAACACTACCTAAAATAATCAGGCCTGAGGCCATGACAGAGCAAATAGGGGTGAGCTGATCAAATCTGGTGGGAATAAAAGCTACACAAACAGCCACAGTTGAGATGATGGTACACCATGTGTTCACTACAGCAGCATTGTAAATCTTGAACTTGAACAGATCAGGTGAAATCTTGGCTTTGACAATCTGGCCTCTAGAGGTCCCTACGTGACAGTAACAATTTATGTGCAAGACCTTCTAAAATTAAAGCCAGTAGGCAATTGCTAACACTGACATAAATTGAGGTATGAGTAAAGAGCACAGCGGCAGTGTTTCACCCATCCAGTCTTGTAGCCTATTAAATATTACGCCACTGTAAAAACCTTTCAAGTCCTGCGTTCAATATTAAAAAGCAAATCTTGAGCACAACATTATTTACCAATTTCAGCAAACTGACAGCAGGGTGGCTGTTTGGGGCTGTGTAGTCATGCGAGGCAGTGAGGCGGTGCGTGCAGGAGGCTGCACGGGGGGAAGGAGAAGAGAGGTCAAGCAGCAGCCATCATCATGCAAACAGCAGGTGTGACAGAGTGACAACATGCAAACATCAAAGCAGCCTAAACTTGGCATACCATTTGCCAAGGGGCTATTTGCAGCTCATTTCCATCGCCATTTGGTGGTCCTACGCGCCCGAGCGGAACCGAGGGAGCTACACCGCACTGGACCCCCGTGTTGTCATCATGTCCTTATGAAATGATTGACAGGCTTGGCGTGATGCTAGCCCCGCTGGTTCCGATGCAGGTTGCTGCCGTAGCATACTAGCCTAGCCCCAGTGCGCGCAGTCCAACCAAACCAAATTCCGTTAAAACATCTGTCCGTTTAAGGTTTCCTTACAGTAATGAATATATGCATACCTGTCTGGAGAGTTAACACCTTACACGGATCAGTGGAGCTCCTTGGTTAAATTCGGCGGATGCATGACCCACTACACAGACTGTATTTCAATGATACCTCTGTTTTATAACTCCAGCTGCAACTGTCGCCCAACACAGCACAATGTGGATTTAATACCACTGGGGACATTTAAGGCAAAGCAATTCTACAAGTTCAAACTGAATATAATGGCTGTTTGGAGTAACACACATTGCCCACAGAATACAAGCCATGGTCGCAGTATTTCGCACAAGTCCTGAATTAGTGTCCCCCTCGATATACATCTCTGCTCGTGAGCTAGGACATTTAAAAAAAAAACTGCGTAATTTGGACGGAGTTTGGCCTCTCTTCCACAGCGGAGGGAACGGCACATAACGGGGCTAAAGCTAGCCGGGCTAGCTCCATCAGCAATCTTTAACCTTCAGCTGAGAGGAGCGCGTCCGCAAACAGTGGCAGTGGCCACCGCACACGCTTCAAGTTAAAGAATAAAGACCGCCATCCTCCCACTCCCTTCACCTTCTAACGTCGCGTCCTGAAAGTGCCACAGTATTGTCCTAAATCCTCTAATCCCGGCAGAGGAGGCAGGGACAGCCCGGACAGGAGAGCGCCGAGGTAGCTGCAAGTTGAGGGACCGCTGGAAATGTTGAACGCAGAGCAGATGCGTCTGTCCACCTCTGTCTGCTCCCCCTCGCAGCCGCTCACAGCCTCCTCTGCCCGCCGCATGTGAGTGAAATCTAAAAAAACAAAAAGTCCAACGAATGCCTGAGTTAACGGCGGTGAGTCGGTCGACCGGGAGCCACTCTTTACCTGTGAAATGCGTCGTCGCGTTGCCGCCTAGTCCCCAGCGCTCATCCCCGCCGCTGCTCTGGACGGACTGAGCTGGGATCTGCTGAGGGAACAGCCCCTCTACAGCACAGCACAGCACAGCACAGCACTGAGGAGACATCCCTCTTCTCCAGCGGGGAGGCAGATGGACGCTGCTCAGCGATAAGGTCACTTCACACTCAGCATTTCAAGAGAAAGTAATCAAACTCATGCAGTCTATTTATCTGACTTGTCTTTATCAGACCGCAGAAACTCAATGCTTCATGTGATTACCATACTGTAATTACTATGATAATCAGAATGATTGATGTCAGCCTATAATGTGAGTGTAAACTGACCTTCACCTCCACACATCCCTAATCCTACCTGTCTTTATGTTGTGTGCTGTATATGAATATACAGGCTAGACCAGGGGTGCCCAAATGTTTTCCCTTTGGGGGCCAAAACTGAAACTTAAGGGTGGGCCTTGGGCTTAAAGCTAATATTGTATTGTTAAGATGCGAAATGGAACCGGGATCCCAAGTTCCCTTAATTGACAGACCTCCTGCGCAGTGTCTCTCTGCCTGCTGTGCTCAGATTATGAAAAATAATTAATAATTAGGACCTAAAACTTAAAGAGCATTTTACCTCACAAAAAATAAAACAACACAAACAGCTATTTATATTGTATATTTTTTTTAATTCATAAAAAAAAATGTTTCAGAAACATCTGGCGGGCCAATTTGAACCTTACGGCAGACCAGCTTTGGGCACCCCTGGGCTAGAATATACATGATGCTGTGTTATTCCACCCTCCAAATTTTGCTGTCTTTCTGTTAAAAATAACCAGTCGATTAATCGATCAGTCGACAAACTACATGTTTTTTGAAATGGGTCAATTTTCAAGCAAAGATTCTATAAATTCTGTGGTTCCAGGTGTTTGTTTGTTGTTTACCTTGTAAGTGTTGGACAAATCAACATTTGCTGTACGGCTGTGAAGTAGCAAGAATCCGACAATAAGATGTGGATCACGATACAGAGGTTACAATTCAATATATTGTAATACTGTAAGCAAGTCGATATATTGCAATTTGTGTTTTTAAATCTAATTTTAGGAAAACTGTAGTAATATAGAGAACACAGCCACTCCTCTCTCTCTTATTCAAATATAGGAACCACTGGGGCTTTAACTGAGAGCAAAGAAGAGACAGCTCCCCCACTCAACGCCCACACGGTTCCCTCCCATCTTCTCGCCTGAGCTCCTCCATCCATCCATCCATCCATCCACAAACCTGATTTCTCCCCCACTCTCCCTCACTTCATCCCTCACCCTTCCTCCCCTGACCCCCATTCATCCCTCGACCCCCAACCCCTCACCCTACATCTCTTCATCCCTCCTACAGTTTATTATATCGGTTCACCATTATCCATTATATTCAATAAACCATTCCATCTCCTCACCGACATGGTCTTTGTTAGTGAATCAGTAGTTGCAGCTCTAAATAATGAAAGTGAAAATGAACTCTTACACATGTATCTGCTGAAAATTACTTCACGCAGGCTTTGTTATTATAAAAAGCTATTTACAGCAGTTAGTGAAACTTTGGGCCACTTTTTTGTTTTGGTTCTCCTGTACAGTTTGCCAAAACTTACTTTACACCCGTCTGTCTGCAGGCCTTCAGAGCTGAAAGTTGTACACCCTTTCCACCTCTTTAAAAGAACAGAAGACCCTAAAACCTCCATAATATTGACACAGATGTTGCATATAACTGAAAACTAAGGGAGGCTGGTAGGCTCCTGTTGGACCTGGCTGTTGTATTCCCACAGTGGGAATCATTTCAGTGGACGGCAGTATCTGACCACTGAAATACATCCCCTGATTCGTGTGCAGCAGCCGCTTCGCCTGTCCACTCACAGCTGGTAATGTGTCCCCATGGCAATAGTTGCAGCAATAATGATCATGTTTACATTCAGTCAGCCTAACTTTGAATTACCTACTCGATCATTATCTCCTTTCCTGTAACGCTAGCCATTGTTCCATTTGTTGACTTTACATATCCTGTGGCCACTAGTATAAGGAGAAAAACATCTATAATGACTTGATAGTCAGTGTTGTTGTAGTTTCCTGTGGCGCTTGTACACAGTTTGGCCAACGGAGTGAAATGTTTAGACAGCAGAGGTTATGACTTTGGACTGTGTGGCATTTTAAGACAATGAGAACCTGAGAAAAGTGAGAGGAACCTGACAAGAACAATGGGAGTGATATAAGATACCATAACTGCTGTGTTACAGTAGTTTGGAAAAGGCATATCATTTAATTTGGCCTGTGACTTAACTGGCATCTGCTCAGTATCAGTGAAGGTCAACACTTCTGCTGCTCCCTGTGTTCATAGAGTGCCTGTGCTGCACTGCACCCAACAGTGTGGCCGTGTCTGTTTTCAATTGTGCCGTACATATGCAGCTCATATGCAACGCACTGAAATGTGGTGCAGAGACGCTGATGTCACCGCTCCGTTTGCCAGTTGCGGTTTTGAGTTTGAGCGTTTGTGAGCTGGGTGAGCAGCGCTGCCCGCTGTGGGCTGCTGCAGTTGCCGCTCCCCAATTCCCCAGAACTCTGGTAACATTTTGTCTATGTAGGTGAGAGAGAGGTGTGTGTGTGGGTGGGTGGGGTGGGGGTTGGGGTGGGGGGTCTGTGGATGTCTCTCTGCTGCTCTAGTCAGTGAGCAATACCAACCTGGGAGAAAACTTTACATGAATTCATGAATCTTAAGAGTTGCACTATATTCATGGCAGTAGCTGGAGTTCTTACAGTGCAAGAAATTACAGAAGCTGAGCCTGGGCAATTTCTTATACGTAGCTACATTTTGTATGCATGAAAACTAAACTAAAATATCGGGGACATCTTGATGGATTTGCAGTCCATTTTGCACAAACTGCTTTTCAATTGGTTTAAAGCTTGACAATCCTCCTCGGGCTCCTCTGCATTTGCTTACACATAACTCATCCTTTGTGAGTTAAAGTTACACAAGAAGAGGCTACCACTCTCATATCTGTCTGTTAAGATTAAGTTATAGGGTACCCTGGTAGCTCACCTGGTGGAGGCGTACCATGTGCCAGGGCTGGGTCCTTGCTGCAGCGGTCATGGGTTTGAGTCAGACCTGTGGCCCTTTGCATCTCTCTCCCCTCTTTCCTGTCCATCTTGAGTTGTCCTGTCACCAGGGGCAAAAAGCCACACAATATATGTATATATGTATTTAGAAAATTAGGCTATGGCCAGGAGACAGTTAGCGTAGCTTAGCATAAAAACCGTAAACAAGGGGAAGCAGCTAGCCTCGTTCAGTCTGAAAGTAAAACATTCCCAGAAAAGCCCCTCTAAAGCTAGTCACTGCACCCGGCCAAGAAATAGTTTTTGTCCTTTTTACTTTTTCTGTAAACAAACAAGATATAACGCGTTAGTGAGCTTTAGAAGGGGCGGTAGGCGAATTCCTTTGGATAGAAGGGGTCTTACATTAAGCCAAGCTAACCGTCCCCGAGCTATAGCTTGAAGGTGCTGTAAGTGAAATCGGCATGTTGGTTAACTTCTAGTCTTTCAGTGAGCAGTCAGCTCCCCCCTCCCCATGTCACCACAAATCTTCTTCCTGCTCTTTAGGACCGCCTTTTTGTGGATGTCTCTATCCTGATTAGATGAAGTGGGAAAAGGATACCAGAAAATGTATTTTCTGTTTACTACAGAAAGGAAGGACTGGGAGGCCCATGTTACAGACTGCACACTCAATATCAGTAATGGCTGCTGGAATGTAGAGCTATTTAATACCTATTTTAACAACAAAATATCACTTGCAGCACGTTCAATATTGAGATATTGAAGTATGACAATAGTATTGACCTTACATAATGAGTTTATTGTCTAAAAACATTATAGTAATTAGATAATTAGTCAGCCGTTGTAAAACATTCAGCTCATTTAGAGTTTTGTTTGTATTTAATTTCTTAATTTAGCTCCTACTTCATATTTTATTTTCCTTCCCAAAGCTCTCAATACACTTTAATATCCTGCTCCATACAGCCGTTAGTGGAAATTTTACTTTTTAGGGCTAATAATAAGCAGTCAAAGTTAAAGGTATGGAATCTAAAAAAGCCTGGAAGGATTTTAAAATGTCAAGTCCAACTCCAGGTAGCAAAAATTCCCAAATTACAGGAAAATGGAAAAGAAAACAGAGTACATGAACTCAGTGTCCTCAACTGTAACTACGACCCTGTCTGAAAAGACTATGCCCCTATCATTATATCCAATCAGTGTCTATGGTGTATTGTATAAGTTACCTCCACTGAGGTGAGGCTCACATCAAAGGTGGCCGTAGAAAGAGGCTTGCTGCAGTAGCTTTAAATAGATCGCCAGGTAATGGGCTTTGGAAGGCTGTAATTGTAGCAATCCTAATGTAGGGAGTGTGGCCACCTTTTAAAGCTTGGCATGGGCCAGACAGATTACCATCAGGGTACTACACTGCCACCTGGCAAACACCCTCCTTTCTGTGATTGGACTAATTTACGGCTACCGGTCATCCAGGAGCTGGCTCGGCATTTGTTTTGAGCTCTCTTCTAACAAATAACTTTCTTCTTGACAACAATAAAAAGAAAAGTTGTTTGAATGATTCAGAGGTCATGAAACCATTTCCAGATGTATTTTGTTTAATATCACCTTGGTGGCTCGCTCTCAAAGACAATGCCAAAGAATGATTTTATGCTTGTAGTCTAGCTGATTTCAAAAGTTGGATGCTCTTTCATACAGAAAGAATGTGCTAAACTTGGCTCGGCTATAATAACTGCGCATTTGTGGGCCTCGTGGACCAAAATTGTTCATTTCCCATCAGAATCCATCTGCAGACCTATAATTAGGATTATTTTAGGAACGCCAGAGTATCCAGTGGTCACTGCATCCTCTGAATCTATCTCACAGAGCCACAGAAGCTGCCCTGAACCCAAACAATTGCACCACAGTGTAACGTAAACACAAAACTGATTCTGTGTTACATTCCTCTATCCGTCACCACCGCCTCAAATGAAACTGTGAATCAACAGCAGGAAACCATTGTCAACATTTGGGCTATTGTTGGGCAGTGATTATGAACATGTGCTCCCTGTTTACTGCTCACTCACACTGTTGTCTGTCTATAACAAAATGTCTGAAAACGCAACTCATTTGAAAACAAAACGCATCATTCACCCATCACATGTACGAAATGATCACGTTTCAAATACGCTGAAAAGGAGTGAGGTCATTACATCATATCCCAACACTGGTTATCTAATCTACTCAGTTTCTTCCTCCGGAAAGCTTTTATTTTCCTAGGATGTGATCCCACAGCAACCGGTCAGCAACTAGCTGGAACATCAGAGTAATTTGGGGAAAAAGCAATGATATTCAAGGCATTATCGAACACGTACAGTCCAATGCTCACACACACAGAAGCACTGAATCCTCTCAAATATGATTTTAAGGCCTCTTCCCACGTAACACAGCCGTGATCAAACCAGCTCTACACCAACAAAGCAAATCCCTAAACAGCTGGGTTTTGACGGAGTAAAGTGCCTACCGTAACTCAGGACAGATGTGGAGAGGGCTTGACTGTATGAGGTCTGAGCCTCCCTGGCGGTATCGCACCACCCACAGGCATCTGCTCAGGAGATCTGAGGGGCCGACCGGGGATTTTTTTTGTGTTTTGGTCCGGCCGTGGATTGTGGTTATTGTTATAAGGTGAGAGATCTGTGGGGAAGAGGGCACGCAGGCCACCCTCAACACATGAGGATCATGTAAAGCCCCCTCACCTCTGAACCCATGGTGTGAACAGCTGCCTCGTGTTGATGCAGAGATTCACTTTGATCCACCTTGATCCGGATTCATGAAGACAACTGTGTTCATATTGTTTAGTGGAGTTGCTTTTGGAAATTGCATGATGTTCATCTTTTTATTATCTACCTGTTCAAATGAAATATTCTCCCACCAGGGCTGGATTAACCCGCTGGCAGGCCATGGGGCAAGAAGTGAGCCATGGGCCCCTACTGAGCCCCCAGTGTTTCACAACTTACTTTGATTATAAGCTAATTAAATGCAGTTTTTAGATAAATATGAACCATGCAAGTATGTTATTAACTAAAATATTAAAGGTTTTTTAAAGAATTTTAAAATTGATTTTGACCCAAGGTCACTCTACAAACCAGGAAGGTACAAATGCAGTGACGTTGAATGAGGACTTTCCCATTTTAGTCTATGCTAATCATTAAATCAAATTATCATATAGTGAACCCAAAGACTCTAGCATTCCAGAAGTTATTTTGGGATTAAAACTGGCTATTTCTACTCAGCAAATTACTTCCTACAGTTCCCAGAAATCCCCTTAAGCAGTATCCCAGGGGCTACTTCTGCAGTTGCTAGGGATACAGTGGGTGTGGCCACATCACTCCCTGTTTACTCTATCAGTGGTTCCCAACCCTTTTCCTTGAGGGAGCCCTTTTCTATCATCGAGTAAACTGACGCCCCCTGACTCAGTGACATATTTTATGGATATTTCATATTGTATTCAATCAATAACAATAACAATATAGAAAAACTGATAAACTGGCAATTTAGCCCAAATAGTGAACACAATAACTGCAGGACTTTTTCTGATATTTTTAGTAACTTATCATACATTCATCTGTCTGTATTGTGTTTTTTATTTTTAACAATCCTTCTCCCTGACACCATTGTTCTATTAGCTTTAAGTAGTAAAAATGGCATACATTCCTAATGCAAGACAAGGCTGTTTATCAGAGAGTGAAGGCTATGTCAATATAGCTTGTGCTCAGGTGTTCATAGTTTAGATATTAAATGATAATCCAAACTTTAGAAATAACAATTTCATTTAGTTTTCTTCACAGGAAGGAATGAACTACTGTGCTTTTTAAAGTTTTCTTACACCCCTTAAAATCAAGACACAATGACCCCCTGTAAAGCTTTGACGACCCCCAGGTTGGTAACCACTGTACCATATAGTGCACCTACTGCCTAACACCTTATTTAAGTGTGAAAGTGTGAAATTTATGCAGCAAAAAATGGAACAAGAAACATCAGTGTCCAGTGTGTTCACTTTGTTCTGCTAAAGATCAAACAATACAATGTGTTGTATTATTACACTGTCAGTCATGATGTAAAATGATGATCATTTATAAGTGTCCGAAATTTCACTTTACTGCTCACTACAGAATACACTGACAGTCTATTACATGAGGGAGTAGTGAATGAAGAAGTGAACTGACAGAGCCCTGGAAAGATTGGAAAGTAGCTCAGCTACTAAAATAAACACAGGAACAAGAACAAGATAACAAATTGTTGTGATGCTGCGCTTCAGAATACAGGAAAACAACTGAAAACTACACTTGTCACCGCTTTCTGGAAGACAATTTACGTAATGGAGACAGTGTTTGTCAACAGCCTCACCCTCAATATCAGCTTATATATCGGCCCAGCCAATTTATCAGCTCTAGTTGTCACAATAACCAATAAACTACTGGCTCTAACGTGGGCTGACTGCAGACACACACACCTTGTGCTGCAGCTGAGTGTCTGTGTGAAAACTAGTTAGCATGTTAGCAGGGAGGCTTAAATAAACATAATGGACAAATGGGTGAAATAGTACAGTAGTACAACTGAAAACTTCACCAGACCCACTGATAAAAGAGATCAAGCCTAAACAACTGCAGGATCATTACGTCTTGTATGTAAAAAGAAATGTCAACTTTTATATAATAAATAATGAAATAATATCCTGTTTAAAATCATTTCAGAAGAAGACATTTGGAACATGACGGATGGTGTCACTGGAGAGTTACTTGAACTCATCTGTGGTGGGAGTACGCAGACAATAAAACGTTTGGATCCATGCTGTAAGGTATGAACACATTCCATTCCCAGTGAGAAAGAGCGATGAGAAGTGTTCAGTAGCCTGCCTTGCGCTGTCATTGCACTCTGGTCTAATTTCTGCTTCTGTGGGCGGAGAAAGTGCTATGTCGAGAATAGCTGTTAAGCTTTAACATTTGTTACGTTTATTTGCCTTAAGAAATTCCATCGAGCAGCTTTCTGTCAATGGAACGGCCCTTTGAGCATGGCTTAAGAAAAAAAAAGACTGCAGTGCACTGAGGAAGCAGTTTGCATCAATACAATCCTTGTAGTTAATTGCTTGTTTTCTGTGGATCTCAGATATTTAGCCAAGCACTGCAAAACCGTGAGCCATCTGGCTGCGGACCTCATCAGCCTCTCCTCTTTGCTTTACTAAGATTTCATTTAATCTGGTTTAAGCTGCTTGTTTAAAAGTGAAATAATTGGTGGGAGTGGAACCAATGAAGTAATGATACACCCATTCTCTCTTTGCGCTAATTGGTAAATGAAATTAATCCACCCCTCTGCTGTACTGCTGTTGCCAGCCTGAGATCTCCTTAAGGAGCCTGCAAGGTCACTAGACCCCACTAAGAGAAAACTTCCCGGTTTCATTGTACCGTTTTTAGCCTTTTGCTGCGGCTCCGGGTGAGGAGCAATTTGGTGTTTTTGCTCACACATCAGATCACACCTGGAACCAACAGAGAACTGATAAAACACAGGGCACTAGCCGGCTGCTCTCTCTGTGACCCGTCACATTGTTTGAAAGCAACAATATGCCTTCCATTATCTGAATTAGATAAGATATAATGTCTTGTGAACATGTGATGCCTATGGGCTAGATATTTGACCTCTGTTTAGTATATGAGTCATACAGATAAGTGCTTTCATGCACACATCATGGCTGATTTGATATGTCCACACTGGGGCTGCTCATGCCAGGGATGACATCAGTACACTTTGCAGAGGGACGCCCCATGAGAAAGTCGCCGTGACTGACGGCTGTCGTCCTCTGAGCTTTTACAGATGAAATATAGGGGGGTAATAGCAGAGTCATGGTGATCCAATTCACATTAACCATCTGCAGCCAGGATACTGAATCCCACTCCACAAAACAGTCCTTCATAAATCGTTACGTTTACATCATTTCACCACACAAATCTTTTGGATGACAGATCTACTCGGAGTATGTGCACTCAGATGGATTGCTCTTTCGGAGGATACTTGCCAGACTTGGTAGACAACTCAGTGAATCACTCTGTGTGTATTTTGCCATCCCAGTGTGTTGTTTGCAGTCCTCCTTGCTCCTAAGTATCACTGGGCTGTTATATGGCAAAACACACAATCCCAGTCTCTCTCACACACACACACACACACACACACACACACACCGGTCAGAGCAGCAATACAGGCTGTCCCCGATTTCTCATGGGATCTGACTGGAGTGCAGCAGACACTCAGACAGCCCCAGTGAGCCAGACATGGAAAAGTGAGGGAAGGAGGATGGAAGAGTGCCAGAGGGAAAGTACAGGCTTATCGTGTCGACAGCCCAGTGTTTCCAATCTGCAAAAAGTTTTTGTGAGTTTGCAGTAATGTGTAATTACACCACAGCTAGCCTAATTACCAGTCTGACAATGCAGAGAAAGTGCATTATTTCATGGCCAAGTGGTGGATGATATAAAGGTGACTGCTGAGTTTTTAAAGGGTTTGTTCCCCGTGTTACAAAACACCCCACATTGTCTCACTTAACTCTTGTGGTAGCCACTTTTGTTTTATGATTTTGTAATTTGTGTCTTTCCAGAGAATGTGTCACTATGAATGATCCACATTGTCAACTGTGTTCATTTGAACCATTATCCACCAAAGTAACAGTTTCTATAAACATGGTTTGTTTGTTCCAGTAAGAAACTGAGACATTGTTTCTGGAAAGACACGTTGCTGTAAAAATGTTTCAATGCTTTAAACACTACAAACCAAATTCTAATCACATTTTATTTAGACAGTCAAAGTCCTTAACTAGCCACTGTTCCTCTAGCTAACGCAATCTGTTGAAGGTTTCTCTTTTGGGTTAGAGTACTCAGTTGAAAACAGCATCCGGTACAGGCAATGTACTTCTTATGAGTACGAGTATCATCAGCTTAAAATGTGTCATCATCTGTTTTCTAATAAACAATAAAACAATAAATACAGCGACTTTAAAAATAAATGAAGTAAAAAATAGCTCTGAAGCTCAATTCTAACAGTTTTCTAATAAATATAGCAATCTGCTATCTGATCAACCCATATAACTTCTGCTTAGTCCCACCCACTTTCAGTTTAAACCCCACCCATTCCCAGTACAGATACAGATTGCAACCATTAGAATAACTGCTCGTAAAACTTGGTAATGCAAACACAATTTTCTGTGACTCTTATTTTCAGTGATTTTATGCAAATAAAAACATACCTATGAATATTATATTCCATTTCTGCCAGTAGATCATCCTAAATGTTACACTGGAACTGTGTTATCTTTCCGACTTTGTGTCCTTCTGGCCCTCTCAGTCCTGTTGTTGTTACTGGCATGTCTGGACAAGCCAAGGCCACTTGACTCGCATTCTGTGGAGATAGTGAGTTTAACCACCAAAGGTCTTGGCTTGTGGGAAATGGTGTTTGTTAAAGGTTAATAAATGAATGAAATATGAGAGAAAAAGAACCATCGTTATCTAGATATAAAGCTGGAACCACACAACATACTGGGCAAGTAAGCTGTATGTTATTGAGTGGTATTGAACAAGGTCATGTTGAAAGGCTGGATTTTTATTCATTTGCACTATTACAAATGTCATTATGAATTTTAATTTGTTTTCTCTTTTTACTTCTAGAACAAAACTCAGAACGTCCTCTCTCACTTTGGCTCTCTTTTGTGGAAGAGGCAGAAATCAAAGCAAACCAAAACTACTTGCAAGGCCAGGTACCATCAGAAGTAAGCAAGATATGAGTCAACCAACCGCTTTAAAGCTGATGATCTGTGTACCGAGAAGGATGACGCAAGTCCTGCCCTGACCTGTACCAGGCACCCATCTCTACCCATCAACCCCCAGTTCACCCTCCTCCCCTTGCTAATCCAGCAGAGGGGCGATGGTGAGCATGCTGGGCCACTGACATGGGATGAGATAACTCACAGCTGGAGCCACAAACAGGGTCTCTCACAATCACTAAGGCGCTGGAGAGAAGACAAAAAAAACCCTAACTCGAGTGAGCTGTAAAACTTATACTCTCTCTGAGAAACCCTCTCCATCTAGTCTACTACAGTGGGCCTCTCCTTATTCATTGTCCAGTGGGTAAGCAGAGCAGTGGTTCAGTTAACAAGAGGCAGAGAGGGAACATTGAAACTGACCAAAACCACAGGATTGCAGAATGTCTGTAAAGTCTTTCCTATCAAAACTCAAAAGGAATTCCAAAATAGCTGAGGGTGATGATAACATGTTTGTTGAACTAAAACCTGTAGCCCTTCTCGTGCCGGCTGCTTTTCACAGATGGTACGAAGGCAGAAGTTATGATTTACTCTCAAGTGCATGCCATAGTCTCCATTATCACTCCCTCACACAGGTCAGCATGCGCACACAGACACACACAACGACAACCGTCCTTCCCAGAAGAGACATTAGCAGTATGATTCGCTCTGTGGGGGCTAACAGGCGTGAGAGATGGATGAGTGACGAAGGTTGATGGAGAGTGCACACACACACATGCACACACAGAGTAGACATGGTTGGGATTCCTCAGCAGGTTCCCTCCCTCTCTTGACATGTTGTTCAGGGTTTGAGGAACTCTCTCTCCACCCTGAGGACTCACAGCGGCCACTGTTAGCTTTACACAAAACCTTTCCAGTGACAAATTATAGTGTCAACTTATCTGCACCCATTCCTACACCCAGCTGTTCCACATACTCCCTGGCCTCTGCCTATAGCAGAGAAAACTTTACTTTAGATGCAGGAAACAACTCATATGTCTTACTTACTTCTTACTTTATTTTAATGGATGGGTTCTGTAGGAGTGGAGTGGGAGCCGATGGCATGAAAGGCACTTACGATAATGTTACATAAGTCCCATTGAATTGCACGTAGAAAGGCTTACCTGTGTGTTCTGCTCCAAGGGATATTCTTGGCAAATGTTCCCTGGTCTCATGCAGAAATATGAGAGAAACAGAGCCAAAGAGAGAAAACAGAATTAAAGACAAAGAAACAAGCAGAGAGACACAGGGAGGTACAGCATAGGGAAGGAGTAAGTGGGAGAGAGGTGTGCCGTGAGTGTATCAAAACAAAACCATTCGCCTTTTTCAGGCTCAATTGAACATTAAATCACTTTGGGCGAGGGAAATATGACACAGTGTTATTTTTGCTGAGCTCCAATGCAAGCACTCTTTAGAGGTAAAGACTGAGCGCAGGAGTTGAGCCAAGAGGACTAAAAGCGTTTGTTGTTTTTCAGCATGTTGATCCTGAGTGGAATCTAACCTCTCTGTGCTGTTCTGTGCAACGCTGGAGGTCTGCGGCAAGGAGTCGCTCAAGGATGAAGTTAAAGGCCCAGTCCGCAACTCTCGGGGGCCCGTCCCTGCCTCATTATTTTTGCTCCGGCGCTGCACGCTGTAGGAAGGAGCTGGAGAGGGTGTCATCTGTGTCAGATTTATAATTCATGCGCCTGGTCGACTGCTCCTCACCACTACTCTGTGTTCCATGTAAACAACGTGACGGGGGACAGCAGGAAGCTCGGGGACTAATTCTGGATGCTCCATTGTGTTGTGAGCCCCTCCTGACCCAGCTCTGCTTCCAATCAACGGCGCGTAGACCTCCTACGATGCAGCTGCATACAAACATAGCGCTAAACACGTTCCACTGACTTCCAGCAACTCATTTATTAACATTATCAGCAATTGCCCAGTTCACTTTGAGTCCATTGACGCAGACTGGAGGCAGCACACACGGTCAAACACAGTGCATTACCACACTGAATCATTCTTCCAGAGTTTACTCAAAGCCACAAGACCAAGGCTGCTGAATACAGATGGAGCTGTAGCGAATTACTGCTGCCCAAACTGCTCCAACCTCGAGCTGAACTCCTCACTTTTCAGCTTTTTAAGGTGTCTTAACAGTATTATCTATGCACAAGTTAATTGGGAGACATGGAATTTGTGTTAAAATATGCTTATTCAGCTCCTCAATATAATGTAGAAGCACTTGAGCTGCCTCCCATCCTCATTGTAATCAGCGTGATATATTAAACACAACCTGCAATGCCAGAGGTCATTAATTCAGCAAATGAATGTGATAATTAGCGAACATGTTCAAGTCAACATACTTCACATGACTGCTATTAACATAAATGGATCTTAAAGCATTAAGAGGATATGGGTCTCTCATTAGTATGCAAATGTATGCATCTAGGTGCTTCAGTATCTAATCAGTTCATCTGCTGGAAAGGGTGAACATGTACTGTACGTTGTTCTGAATGTATTGTTCTTCGACAGACACAGACACAGCGTGATTACATTATTACATAATGAACCATGATGGAGGGACATAATAGAAAAAAGGCTATGAACTTTATTTTATATCCCTATGACAATCATGTTTGGTATTGACTGTACACTGTTAAACTATTATTTGGATATGCATTGATATCCAAGAAATAAGGTGTTCTCATGCATAAGCATGTTGGGTAGACAAAATGTGCACACGTTTATTGTGTGCCAGTCTCTAGATGGTGATTGGTTGCATCACGGCACGGTCACATCTGCAAAATCAACATTAATGAATATCAGCCTCCCGTTTACTTCCATTCTATGCAAGCGAAGGGGCAAAAACCCTCTCTACAGGTGGCAAAGCAGATTCACATCTCAGCTTTGCGTGAAGCTCAAAAACGGCAAAATTTAACCTACGATGTTGCAGCTATAACCAATAGCAAATATGTGTTTGGTTGACCTCTAAAGCGGGCTAAAAAACATAACTATTGAGAGTGAGAGGGGCTTGATTGACCACTCACTCTAAAAAACAAGCCACAGCCAGTCCAGACATGCCTGGGAAGGGTGGATGCAGCAGTATGGCAGCATTCAGACTAGTGATGGGAATTCTGGTTCTTTTGAGTGAGCCAGATCATTTGGCTCAGCTCACCAAGAAGAGCTGGCTCTTTCGGCTCCCAAACGGCTCTTCATTTGACCACTTATACCTTTCATACATACAATACAGCCAAAATTAGCGCTGTTTTGACTTATGATATGTATGTGTACACAAATATCACTTAAATTATGAAAAACATTCTTTGTACTGAAGTATTCAAAAGTAAAAATTTAATTTTCTAATATTAATAAATTGCTGTATCCAATTATTTTCATTCCACCCTTGTAACTTTCTGAAACCACCCGAATGCTCCAACTTGCTTGTAGAATCACTCTGCTACACAAAGAAGATAGAAACACCTATAAAACTTACACTAACAACACAGCCCCCTACAAAACAAGTACTGAAAAATAAGTGAATTAAATACAGGACTCAAGTAAATGTGCATTGTTAATGCCCACCACTGACATCTGGACAAATAAAACCAACTGTATGCATGGAGCACCCATAGTGCAGAGATCATCATATCATTCTGCCTTGTATTACTTTACAAAAAAAAAAAAAGGCTCGCAGACGGGAGATGGCTCCCATCGTTCACTTAAACGACCGACACATCACTAATTCAGACCAGCTTTAGTCCTGTAGTAATACGGTCGTCTCGTTCATTTGAGTGAGGCCAGTCCGTCAACGCAAAACAATTTCAAAAAGTTGACCAGTCCAAGTTTTGCAACAACGCAACTTCATCTGGCAAGGCACTGCATTGGCCAATCAAATAAACGCAAGCACACATTCGTGGTAATGTTTTGTAATGTGAACATTGTATTTCACTGTTTGCAATTGTTGTGACAAAAGGCAAAATACCTGCTACTGTGATTACTTTTAATTGCAATTAGTCTTCAGCCTGGATCATACTTCATGATCTCACTGGTACCTTAAACAACACACACTGCAGGCCCTGCACTGTTTTTAATGGTTTGAATTCAAACAAAATACAAATATCATATCATAATGGCAGCTCGGACACTGAATGATACCATTCGACACTGAAGAGCAAGTGATGTTCACAAATCATGTTTTTGCTGACCTCCAGTGGTTTAAATTTCCCCCTTCCTACCAAGCCACCAGGAAGTGTGCCAGACTTTGAAGCCAATTTGACATAGTGGGCAAATCATCTAGTTACAGCAATGGCGTCTGTAACACATTGCACACTGGCCCGAAAATACTTTCTCCCATTAGGTTACATTGTGAAAGAAGCGGCTGTAAATAGTGGATACATTGATCCGCACAATTAAGTCTTTTATCCCCATTTAAGTTAACAGAGGGCTAAACCGGAAGTTAGCTGGCTCTGCCAGCGGAAGTCCCAGTGCGCATGCGCTATGGGCCACTGTGCTGTATGTATTAATCTGGATAATTTCTTTGCAGCAGCAAGTGGCTTTTTTGGCGCCACTGAGCAGCTTTCATCGGAATGAACGCTGTATCCAGTTCTCTTTATGCTCAGTGCTTGCTACAGTGATATACTCCAGGGTGTGTCAGTTCACCATGACATGGTGGTTGGGTGTGGTTACACTATATAGTGTTGGGTGTAGTTAGTCTATACAGTAGTACAGATGTCAAAACCCAGCATCTTGCAATCTACATACCACATAATCCATATATACTAAATACATACTTTGAGTTAATGGTTTCCTCAAATTAACAGCGCATGGCTTACATTTAACATCACATTTAATAGGTATCTAAGATAAAATGCAAATTCTTTTTTAAATGCAATGTGGGAAATGCATTTTCATACATGTAACAGTCTTGGTGCGAAATTACAATTTTCTTTTGCCATTTTGCACATTTCCCCCTCCTCTCTGGTTGTGAGAGCAGAGCCAGCAACCCTCTGCTCAGGAGTGCAGTGAAGTGTGTGCTGGTGAAAGCATGAATGGAGCAGGGCAGGTTAGGAGCCTGGTCATGTTGCAGGGCAGATCTGGGGCTGCCTGGCACAGCCTGTTTTGCTCTGAGGTTTGTATGCACACAACCTGTGATCTGCAGCCAGCAACCAACTATCCAACCAGCCACCTCCACCACCTCCCTCTTCCTCTGTAAACAGCAGTAATCTGCAGTCCAGCTGCAGCTCAGGGACAGTAGTGGGAGTGAGGGACATGAGGCGGCCATGGAGCCTCGACACTGTAGCCAAGGGGAGATGGGATAATGTATAATGTGGTTAATAATTGATAACAGCTTCACACAGCCTCCACTTATTAGGATTATCGTTATCAACATGTTTTCCTCCATTTTATTTTTGTTGTTTTCTTGTTCTTCATCTTTTAAAAATGGTATTTAAATTTATATAAAGGCAGTCATCCCACAACAGCTGGCCCTACATCAGCTGTGAGAAGCGGTGCCTGCTTTACAGTAGGCCCCAGTGCCATCATTGTTTAACAGAGGAAGAATAGACCTCCATGCACATCAGGGTGCTTCCCCACATGCAATACATTACAGCATTCCACTTCTCCTTGCCCCTTTTGCCGTCCAAGAAAGCCCTGAAAGCACTGACTAGACTGTGCCATAAAATGTGAGGCGGGGAGGACCACCAACATAGTGAGGCCCTTTGCAGGTCCCGTTTAGTGGTCGCTTTCCACCGCCTCCCCAACCTCCTCCAGTTGGTGGGTATTACAGGGTTTTACCGTCCGGCCGCATCAAACACGCTGATGTCTGCGGAAATGAGACAAGGCAAAAGACAACTATGAAAATATTGATCCAAGTGGTTTGGTGCAGAGGTAGATTTTCTGATAACGCTGCTTCCTGGAGAATAATTGAGCTGTTTTTTATGCGGAGCAGTGATGAACACTTGGACACCTGCAGGTTAGATAGTGGAGTAAAAGAAAAATCCACCATTAAACTCTTTGCTGCTGTTGCAAACAGCTGTTGGTGATTCTGTTTTAATCAAATATGCATTCATCAAAGACAAAGATCTACTTTGTTAAGTCACCTTTTAACACCAAAGTTCTGTAATCGCAAAGGGAGGCATCCACTGTGGAAGAGGCAGAGATCCCATTCTCTCAACCAGCTGTGGCTGCAGTAAACCATGATGCAATGCGCAACACATGTTGCTTTGAGAAAGAATCACAGCTCTCACCTGGAAAAACTCTCTCCTCACACTGTCATGCTCAGTATATTACTCGAGGAATTTGGTGATTCTTGCATCATGAGTAGTTTATGTTTTACAATGTAAAGCTGCACTTATTCATATTTTTATAGTAACAATAGTTGTGTTAAAGATGTCACTAGATGTGATGAACCCACAGAGAAATTGACTCTGTAGTTCCTGCCAGCGGTACAGAGAGATTTTGTGTCTTTCATATCATTGTTTTGGTTTTACCTGAAACTTAAGTGTTTTGTTTCAGTCTCACTGCTCATATCAGTTTGTAATGGTTCACAGTATGATACCTGCCCAGCACTAAAAAGCACACAGACAGTTAAGAGACTAGCTGGTGAACACAGCAGCGCATTTAGCAGCCTAAAGAGACCGACATTAATATTAAAGCTAATTTTAAGGTCACAACATTTGACTGTTTTCTAAAAATAAAGAAAAAAATACATCTTAAAAGCTTAACCTAGCATCCCTGTACACCAGTTACACTGACAGGGGATAACCAGCTTGATGTGACGACTCCCACCATTTACACAGTGAATTTCAGCTTCTTCCTTCTGGACAGAGGTTTATCATCCCAAAGTGTAGAACAAAAGCACTATAAAAATAGCTTTGTTCCAGCAGCTATCATTCAGATTAACATCTGTAGTAACAGAATTCTTATACATTTTTACCTTATTTATTCTAGTGGTTATTTATTTTTATTGTTCTCTCTTTGTAAAGAGCAAACCAAATCTACCTACAGATGCAAATAAAGTAACATCACCTAACAATGTTATTGAATTAACGTTCCAGTGTGGAACATTTAGGATGATCCATTGGCAGAAATGGAATATAATATTCATAGGTATGTTTTCATCAGTGTATAATCCCCTGGATATAAGGATCGTGTTTTCGTTTCATAAGGTGCTCCCTCTGGAGATAAAAAGTCCTCCTTTACATGGAGTCCACCATGTTGAACCACCATGTTCCCACAGTAGCCCAGAATGGACAAATCAAACACTGGCTGTGGATAGGGCATTTTTCAAGTGTTTCAGAGCCACCTTTCTTTCTCCTTTGCTCCTCGAAAGGGAGGGTGAAGCAAGGGAGGTGCATTAGATGCCACTAAATTCTACACCCTGGTCCTTTAATTATATGAGGAAAAAT